AGGTGCCAGGAGTTCGGGGTACCGGTGGGGTGCAGCACCAGCAGGCCCTTTCCCTTATTTAAGAGAGGAGAGAAGGGCGGGAGGGGAGGAGAGGGGCAGGTGAGGTGCCCGCGCTGACCTGTTGGCAAACAGCAAAGATGCTCTCCGGAGGGACAAAGCTCCCACCACCCATCCCGGGGATCAGCAACGCAGGGATCTCCCTGGTCAGGCTCCTGCCTGGACCCAGCCCCCGGCACCCCAAACAGGACACAGGAGTCTGGGTTGTGTCCTTCCCGTTTCGCTCCTGCAGCAGGGGATGGTGGGTGCTCGGACAACCCCTTGGATGGATCCTCTGTTTATTAACAATCATCCAAAAGTTTTCCAAGAGGCTGAAAGCCGATGCCCCAAGCCTACAGGATCTGCAGAGAGCAGGAGCTCCCCAGACGTGCCAGTGGGCAGAGTTGGTTCCCCTCCAGGCTCGATGCCAGCACTGCAATGGGATTTTCCTAGCGAGACCCCTCCGCAGAGAAGCCAAAATGACATTTGAGTCCCCTCTCCACCTCCTTCTCAAACATTTCCTTCTCTCAGCGCCAGCTGATGGCCGAGCCCATTCCCGCACGGCGTCTGCTCCGTGTAGCAGACTGGGGACGGTCTGGAGGTGTGACAGCCCCGCAGCTGGGGACACCAAACCCGCGCGGGCTGGGTTTGAAACCTGCCCATGGCAGAGGTCTGGGGGATGCAAAATTCCTCTTTCCCCGTCTCATGAGCTTCAGCACGGCGCCTGGCCAGCAGCCGTGCACGGCCAGCTCCTTGCCTGGCACCCAGGTCATGCCATGACCCCATCCGCCAGCACAGCCGGGTGCCCCCTGCCCGTGAGCACAGCGAGGGTGGCCGATTGCCCGCTGCTGGCACCGAGGGACTTGTGGCAATGCCGTGGGGGATTCACCCAGGGCAGCTCATTGGTTTTGGTGTCCCTGTGTGCAGTCAAGGGGCTCGGAGCAGGGCAGGGGACGAGGGGCAGCAAGGTGTGGCAACGTGGACCATGTGGCCGAGCTCTGACCCCAACTCAAACTTTCCCAGTAGAAGTTTCTGGTCAAGTTTCTTTTTATACCAGGGACAGTTGTGGCACCGTGGCGAAGGGTTTCCGCACTCTGTGCCAACAGGGCAGGACCGAGCTGGCTCCTAGGGTGAACCCCGACTCCTTGGGAGCCTTTACAGGCTTGACCATGGCATGTACCCTAGCATGTCCCAGCCAAAACCACCACCTGCTCCCTCAGCCAGAGCTTCCTTGGGATGCTTAAAGTGAGGACTGGACTGACGGTGCATGTCTCTGGGGATGGCGGTGTAATTTGGGAGACCTACCGTCCCCTCCAGCAGCACCGGTTGGAGCAGCGCACCCGCCTGCATCCCCGTGCCCTGTCTCCAACGGCCGAGCTGCCCCCTCGGCAGCAAACCCCGTCCCCAAAGAGAGCTTCGTGCTGCTGCCCTGAGCCCCGCTCTCCCCGCTCAACCGGAGCTCCCCGGGGAAGCACGTGCCTGGCAAAAGCAGGGCAGCCCTGGCCAGGGTCGGGAGCACCGGCGGGCGCGTCACTC